CTGATGAGTCGGTGAAACTCCGACGAAACAGTTTGTCACAGCAACTCGTTTGTTGTCCTCTTCTCCCTCTCTGCCTACGGTTTACCGGGCAGTTCTATTTGACGATATATATATATATATTTTTGGATAATTTTTAACCCAGGAAAAAAATCATCCCGGACCCCGTTAATTCCCGTCCAACTCGCCTTTGAACGGGAGTTTAACGCGAATTCAACGCGCGTTGAATTTTTCAACGCAAAACCCGCGTTAAATCCAATTTCGGACACACAACCCGCAAGCCAACTATCTTTCAGTAATGTCTCTCTTACTTTTCCCCTAGATGGCATGTCTCTCCTTCGTCCATCTGCCACCTCTTGTTGTTCGTAGTCGGGCCACATGGACGCATCTAAGGGAGCGGTCCTTGGCCATGCAGACTCGCTATGGCCGCAGGTCCCCCTCGCCCACCCCGGTCTTGCCGAGTTAGTCAACTGGAGTGCAGTCGGGCCTTGCCGTACCGGTCTCGTTAGCGCATCCCGCAGACGTCATGGTAACTGCACATAAGTAAACAGTTGGCTGATAAGGATAAACAAGGCGAGCGGAACAAGGAGAGTGGCAGGAGAAGGGAAAGGGAGAGACAGGAAAACAACCAAAGGGAGTTCAAAAAACACGGAGAATATGAGGAAATAAGGAAACGTCAGAGGGAGAAGGAGCAAGACAGGGAAAGACAACTGGCGCAAAGAGAGAAACAGAAACTGCAAGAGGCTGAAATCGAAAGGGAGAAACAGAGGGAAAAGGAACCCAAACATAAGTGTTAAACCAATGATGCGCATCCCCTCCCAATCTAGCGGGGATGTTAATTCGAGCTTCATCGTTATCGTATTGTTGCGCGCGTAGCGTGGCCAGCCATGCCCCAACCAGATGATGTGCGGGGTAAAAAAGATAGAGATCCGGTGGAGCCATGGGCGCGTGAGCCCGCGGGGCCGGGACTGCACCAGGATTCGGATTCTGGTTCTGATTCGCATTCATATTGGTTGCCTGCCGCCCAGCAGACCTACTTCGTGTTACTATAGGATCGCGGCGCGGCGCGTTCCACTGTCTTGGTCATCCTCTATTCGCCAGATCGTTCGGTATAATCACCTTTCGTGTTAACCCGTAACCCTGCCACGTGTCAGCTCCGATACCAACCTCACGGGATGGGGGCCCGAAAGTGTGAAAAAGGGGTGTGCCAAGGATTTTAGGAAAGTGGGGGTGGAGTCCAAGGTCGGAACAGAGATCTCCGGTGACAAGTTTAGGGACAACGGTGCAAGATGGTACACGAAGATCGTATTTGACATTTCAGTCTTCGGGGATGGGGCTATGGTCTCTGCCAGTTGCATCGCCGCGGCCGGTCCCTTATCCGATGGAGTGGTGGGACACCATGGCTGTCGAGCTGGGCGAACAGTTGTCGGCGCCGCTCGTAATAAGCTTCGGATTCCGATGAGGTTGACCGTAAGCGGAGGCTGTGTAATCACTGCTCGGCTTCGGTTCGGGTTCGTCGGATAAATCCCGAAGCCCGGTATGCCTGGTACCGCTGACACTCCTCGCACGATGGGCGGGGCCAATAGCGATCTATGAAATTCCACAGTACCATTGTGAGCTGGTGATATGGAGGGAGGAGATGGAAGGGAGGGGAACTGGTATTAATAACGACGAAGCCCGGAGATATGTAATATTGAGTGTTGTCAGTATCTGGATAGTCTGGGCCCCTAGGATCGCTGGTTATGACCCAGTGGAGAAACTACGACTAGCCCAGAGTACTGGAGTAAGGAACGATGGTGCCTCTACCAGTTGTTCAGCGGTCAGAGATGACGCCTTGTTAGCACGAATCATGCCGGAGCACGAAGACATGAAGACGAAATTGGAAACCGCGACAGCGGCCAACCAACGTGTCGAAGCACTGGAAGCTTCTCTGAAAGCCATCAGACAGCAGCATGAGGCGGCTCTGCAGGACGCCGAGGAGTGGAAGAAGGAAGCTCTCCGGACCGGTAACAAAGGCAGCAGACTGGCGACTTCATCGTCATCTCAATTGAAGATACCGTCCTCTGTGCCTCGGCGATCATCGGAAACAAACGGGAGCTGTTGACCCCACACAGTTGGTACAACTTCACAGGCTTGAAGTCAACGCACTTAAAGAACTCAGGCTGCAGGAATTGAATCGAAGACGGGAGGCTGAGCAGGAGAACGCCAGGCTTAAAGAGGAACTGGCAAAAAGGGAGTCGGAGCGGACGGCACTGAAATCTGCCTTCCAGCAACGAGTGGATGCTGCTGGTGG